TGTAAACTGCTGTCTGTTTGGGGTCCTCGGGATGGTAAAAGCCAATGAACGCTGGAGATTATTGGTGGTATGTTTGAAAATCGTTGTCAATGGCTGTCGCAGATGCATCCCCTCATTCCTTGTGATTTATAATATCCAATAAAATTCTATTGTTCTTCTGTACTACTACTCCTTTTGCCTCGCATTTCTGTTTATTATCTCTCTTTTGAATCTCTCCTGCTTTGTGCGCTACACGGAGGGAGGGAATGTGGCGACTTGAACTGTTGCACACCTGTGCAAAGTTCTATGTTGCACCCAGTCACTCAGTTAGTCAGTCGAATGGAACATGGGGCATCAACAACACATCTCCAATTTGTCCTCTTCTCTGCTGTCTTCTTTAGATAGCCCCAAGATTGCTCATAGTTTCTCATCTCCTTCATGTCACACCCCACTCATGGGCTTGACGTGCGGTGTGTCTCAGTGGTCTTCTCCGATCAATCTCCATTTTCTTCGACATATTTGTTGAGCAATAGGTTCTTTGCACTGCAGAGTTGCATGCTGATAATTCTTTTCGGCTGGTCATCTGACCTTCAGTATGGTGCCAGCGGCGAATATATATATATATATATATATCGCGAATTGGCAGGAGTTGGACTTCATGGACAAACCATCGGATTAGATCCCAGTGGTTGGAATAGACTACGAGCAGGTCCTGGGTTCGAACGCCTGTGGAGTCCTAAAGTAGAAAGGAACAGCTTTCCAGTACTGCTGGCTAGTTTGTCGCGGACTAAACGGCTAAGCTCGTTTATACACGAAGAAAAAGGACAAAACAAATGCAAACATGTACGTATGTAGAGAGGAATTCAGTCCACACAAATTAATATACATGTAAAATACAGTTACTTACTTGGTGAGTTATAATTGTCCCAAGAGTACACAAATATAGACGTAAAGAATTGTAGTGATGATGTAGTTCTTTTTCGTCTGCGGTTGCTTACTCCACCTAAGGGTACCTGCGGAGAGAAATGCAGATTGAAGCAAAGGATCCGAAAGTGGATATACGGATCACGTATGAACCAAAGATGATCGGCAATAGTGGAAAGCAAAAAGCTGAAGAAGGGAAGTTTCGTCGTCCGTACTGCGCGGTCAATCAGGTGGTGTCCTTATTCACAACTATGGGCAAAGTTAAACTTTAAACACCACTAACTACCAATCAGCGAATGACCTCGAACGCACCAATCATGTGAAGGAGACATTTTTGTGTATGGAATGCATATATTTATGAAAAGATGCATAAAAACTGTAGAAAAGTGTTACAGAGAATACCTTTCTCTTTCACATGGGATAAAAATAGCTCTCAGTTTTAGGTCGGAGTATCAACAGATTATAATTCCATTGTGGGTCAAATTTATTTTGATAAAGTCTCATGGTGTAATACAGTAATATTTACTGAGTAATAAATTGTGCTCGAAACGTCATCAGTAAATATTACTGTATAACACTGTGACCCACAGTGGAATTATACTCTACCACAGTGCACAAGTTCTTATAACCTAAACCTAACTTGGAAATATCCCTAAACTAACTGTAATCTAACTCGAACCAACCCTAATGCCGCCCTTATTAGGTTAACCTAACCTTAACTTGTCCTTGGCTTAAAGGGTAAATTATTCCTTCCCAAACCTTAGCTGAAACTTCCCAGATATCCCACTTTTTATAACATGACACTTCGATGAGCATATTTTATTGATGATGACAGTATTATTTGCCAGTGAGTGTTTCAAGGTCATTGGTGCGGTTGCACCCCACTGGTAGTTAGTGATGCTTAAAGTTTAACTTGGCCCAACTATGATGTGCAGTGAATTCAATATTTTTCCTGTGCGTCGGTGGCATAGCGGTTAGGACGCTCGCCGACTATGCACATGGTCCGGGGTTCGATCCCCGGCCGATGCACTCATTTACCTCCCTAGGCCAGAAATAATGCTGGTGAAGAGGAAAGGTTGGGCATGAGGTTGGCAATCCTATCCTGTAAAAATAAACACTGCTACAGAAACTTCAAGTCACTAGCTTGAAGCCCTATGTTCCACTGGGGAACGTGAAGGAAAAAAACATAAACAATGAACGTATAATTAGATGGCTGGAGGCAATCGGCAGGAAGCCTTCAAACTAGGTTTCGTGCTAGTTGACACTCACCAGTCAGCAAGACGTATCTGCAGTCACCTTGAAGGAACTCATGTCCCACCCCTCTGAGATTCGAACCCGCGTCACCCAGTGCAGTGCTGCAGTCAGAGACGTTACCACCGCTGAGCCAGCTATTCGGGCTCGCATTTGACCTCCTATAGGACTGTAGTGGACACTTTGATTGGACACTAGTCAGCAACTAGTGTGATGTGATATTTTTCGGCCTCCACAAGTTTTCCACCGCTTCTCTAACTAACTAACTAACTAACTAATATCAACTTGTAATCAAATCGGTAACCAATCAGAATCTCTGTAGTTATTGATTTTTTTTCTTGTTAAAATAAAATGATAAAGAAGAATTATGTATAGAGCTGAGTTATGTAACAATAGTTAAATTCTTTTCTTATTCTCTCTCTCTCGCGCGCTCTTTGTCAACTTTCTTTGTTAGCGCTGAAGTAACTAATGGTGAATATTTTCTTTTTTTTGTTGGTATGCTGTCATTATTGTTCTTTAACTTTACTCTTAAAAACATTTTAATTTGTTGACAATGTGCATAGCAATAATACTTGTATTATTTTATTATCAGTCGTGTCACCTTTTTAATCATGCTATAAGGTGGTAGAGTGCAAGAGCACTGGTTTGTGTGTGTATGCGTGTGTGTGTATTAAAGCGATAATAACAAAGGCAACTAGTTCATCACTATGCTACAATTTTCAAACTAAAAGTTAATGGTTACTTAAAGAAAAAACTGAAAGAAGATAAGTATTTTTACTGTTATCGATTAGTAGTGCAGTACTGATCAAGGTACTCACTCTACTCGAACTCATGCAGCTAGCCATCCGGCCAGCCGATCAGGTGAGACAGCTTACGGAGATTTGTCATCTGAAGTTGTAATGAAAACCAGTGATGTCTATCAGGGATGTCCATTGTCCCCATTTCTGTTTAATTTCATGATTGATGTACTAATTGACTTATGATTCTAACTAGCTTCAGCGATTCAGGGATTGACTTGTTACCATTAGGGAATAATCTTGTTGACTGAGAATATGCGGATGATGTAGTCCTCCGTCCCCCCCCCCCAAGTGACGATGCCGATAAAATACGGAGGTGCAGCAATTGTCGAATGTTTGGCATGCGACTCGCTGGACTGGACTGGACTACACTGACTCCTAGCTTAGAAATAGGCAGTGAAGTGTTTGATAGAGCGTGTTGACCACTTCACATGTGTGTGGAGTTGCATCAGCTAGTGCCAACAGGTTGATCGCTGACAAAATCTCGGCACGGATACTGAAGGCTTATTTAGCATATTGCCAACTTACTCCATCTCTGGCTTAGTAGACGTGATATCCAACTGTCTGTCTATGAAAGAATGTGTGTACTACTCAGAAGTCCGCTCTATCCTCTCTTATGGCTGTGAGGCATGGCTATTGAAAGTGGAAGACATGAAAAGCCTGGCTAGTTGTCTTTAATCATGGGTTCTATCTCCCGTGTTACGTGGCATAAGAGGATGAGCATTATTGAGGTTGGGCATCAGTTGATTGTTAGGTGAGGAGGTAAAATCAATCAATGAGGTTGTGAAGTTACATCGATTGAAATTGCTAGCACATGCTTTATGTTACGCATTCCTAACCATCATCCTCCTCAACAGGAAATATTAGCCACTGATATAGGATGCATCAGGTTGGAAAAGAGTTCATGATGGTCAAAACAAAACATGGCTTCATCAGTCAATGAAATCCACAACAGTTTAAGTCAAGTATGCAGGTGTAATCTTCTTGACCGGTTGGGGTCCTCGGGATGGTAAAAACCAATGAAGACTTGAGACTATTGGTGATATGGCTGAAAATCGTTGTCAATTGCTGGGGCAGATGCATTCACTCTTTGTCGATTGTCATACCCAATAAAACTCCATTCCTCTTTCCTATTACTATTCTTTTTTCCTTTACCACTTCTGTTGGTTATCTCTCTCTCTCTCTTGAGTCTTTCTTTACTCTCTTCTGTAGCTTTGTGTGCAAATTGGACCGCTTCACAATTGTGCTGTGCAAACTTCTTCGTTGAAATCAGTCAGTCAGTGCAGCAGTTCAAAGTTGCCACACTCCATGTAGCACAGAAAAGAGGGAGGAAAAAGGGATTTAAACCAACTGCAATCAGTAGCAATGTGGTTGGGGTCGAGCTAAAATCACGAATTGGTAGAAGTTAGAATTCATGAGCCGTTGAATCGGGTCCCAGTGGCTGAATGGTATACGAGCTTGCCTTGTAACCGGAAGGTCCTGGGTTCGAATCCCAGTGGGTGCGTATTGCCGATGATTCCCAAACTAGGATGAAACAGCAGCTGTCCAGTGCTCCCTGGTTTTCAATGGTTCTTTAACTGATATCAGTCCGTGATCAACTCGTAGAAACATAAAAAACCCTTACAAACCAAACTATAGAAAACAATTATGACTTCCAAAATTACTACTCACTATGCTGCTCTTACGAGAAAAGACAATCCACTTGGTAACGGACTTTTTATTTAGGAGAAACACATCTGATACATTTTTAACCAGGTTAGCTGGTAATAAATTGTTCTGATTGGTTGTTAATTTTCTGAAGGTGAAACCTTAGGGCCAACAGTTGTCCAATGGGATAATTTCCTGACCACAACGTAAGCCAATTGCAGATTTGAGGAATAAACACTTCTACCCTTGTAGCCATTGACCACTAAAATGTTGTTTTCAATTTTGGCTACTTCCTGCCAATCTGCTTCAACATACTACTGATAAATCTTGTCACTAGCACGTGCCTTACTCTCATAACTATAACTAATATTGTTGTCTTTATTTGTTTGTTTATTTTTTTAGTTTTGTGATCAAACTGCCTATTCAGTTGATAAACTGGATCAACCCGGTGAACATGTTCTACCATATGGTTGGGAAATTGTACAAGATATTAAATATGGTACCTTTTATATTGATCATATTAATAAGCATACACAATATGAACCGCCTACAGTTGAAGACTTTCAGACAGCTGAAAAGGTTCGATTAAAACACCTGTCACAATTGGACTCACTCAAGAACAACAACAACAGCAACAGCAACGATAATAAAATAGTCACAAATGTAAATAATCTGAAATCGACTTCAATTCATGACACTTACAGCGATGACAACAGTAAGAAAGTGAATGGTGATGCTAATACTGACGACGACGACGACGCTGGCGGTGGACGTATAACTCCAGTGACATTCTGTTCAGATTTGAAACAACTGAGAGGTCCATTAGTGACTACAACTTTGGTGAAAAGTCCACGTGGTTTCGGTTTTACAATTATCGGTGGTTCTGATTGTAATCGATCAGCATATTTACAGGTATCTTTTTGGTAATTTTTTTGCATTTAATATAATAACACTGTCACAGTATTGCTTTCATCGTCATGTTGTCGTAAATGACGGTGACACTACAACATCTGTTGCATATTGGTTGGTGGCTTCTCTCATTGAGTGGTTTACGAAAGCCATCATAGCGTCCGTCATTCATCCACCTGAAACCAATCTGGAAATCTTCGTCACTCAGCCTGCATCAACAACAAAATTCGGATTTTCAATACAAACGTCAAGTCAGTCAGTTCTTCTATACGGATGGATCAGAAACTTGGCGGGTCACAAAGAATATTTCCAACAGCCTGTTGCAGACCTTTATCAACAACTGTCTTTGCTCTATACTCAAGATCAGATGGCCGGAAAGAACAAGAACCAACAAGAAACTATGGGAACAAACAAAACAAGAACCAATCGCCCAACAAATATGCAGGAGAAAGTGGAGATGGATTGGACACTCGCTGAGGAGGCCACTCGCTGGGTGACATCGCGCGTCAGGCCAGTGCTCGAGTGAAACCCGAAAGGGAAGCGGCGAGTGGGACGTCCAAGGGTGACATGGAGGAGATCGTGTGAAGAGGAATTGAAACAGTATGGAGTAACATGGATGCAGGTGAAAAGTACAGCAGAAGACAGAAGCAAGTGGAGACGTGCAGTTGAAGCCCTATGTTCCACTAGGAACCCAAGGGAACAATAATAATAGTAATCATAGCGTCAGATTATCTCTCTTTCTATCATTAATTTTTGATGGGAAAGGGGTGGTCACGTCTTCTTCTGAAGACACATTACTTTTGGAAGTGTTGACAGCTTTTAGTTCGCTTGTTTGTAAACCTCATTTGTGTGTGTTGCCGCTTTTCGTTATGTGCTTTTGATTAATGTGTTTAAGGATGGGGGTTACAAATTGCTGTCGGGGCTAATGAAGGTATTATTAGGCAACGTTTGCGAATCGGAAATAGTCCCGTTTGGTTGGTGTAAGTCATTGATTATCCTAGTATACAAGAAGGCAGGCAAGTTTTCCTGTGATAATAATCATAGAGGGAGGGATTAGCTTGGCTAATATGACATTTACAGTTCTAGGCTCACTAATCATGCTTGGATTCAGTTGTTGCTCGAGAGAAACAAACACGAAAGAACCAGGCAGGCTTTAGATCAGGTAGAGAATGTCTTGATCATATAATTCACCCTACGAAAGATTCTGGAACATAGGCATATTTGCTGGAGTTCGACAATTGCCATGGGTGCGTTGATGGTTCAGCTGTAGAATGCTGGCCAACCATGCACGTGATCCGGAGTTCGAGTCTCGGCCGGTGCACTGTTTTGGCTTCCTTAGTCGATTCTAATCCCGAGAAGGAGGGGAGGTCGGGTGTGGGGCTAGCAACCCCAACCCGTAAAAAACATCACTGCTACCAAAACTTGAGACCCTGTGCTCCACTGGAAACGCCAAGGAGTAAAAAAATAATTGCCTTGTTTCTTGACTTGAAGGCGGAACTCGACGCCGCTATGAAGTCAGTACCGAGAAAGTACATCGTACTAGTCGACGCACTCTACCCGAACTCATGCAGCCGTGTAAGAGTTTACGGGAAGTGGTTACCTGAAGTGATGACAACGAGTGCTGTCTGTCAGGGAGGGGGCTATGTTCACTGTCCCTATTTCTGTTTATTGTCATCATAGATATTGTACTAATGGAATAGACTCTAACTGACTTCACCGACTCAGGCATTGAATGGTTACCAGGGAATAGTCATGTGAACTTGGAACATTCGAACAAAGATGCTGATAAAATGCAGAGACTTCTGAACATCTTTAGCAGAAATCCTCGAATGTTTGGCATACGATTCGCTCGTACTGTCAAATGTAAAATGATGCTACAGGACTGGACTGGACTGGACTACATTGACTCCTAGTTTAAAGATAGAGAATGAAATGGTAGAATGTGTTGACCACTTCACTTATTTGGGAAGTTTCATCAGCCCTAATGAAATAATTGATGACGAAATCTGACAACGGATATAGAAGGCTGGTATTGGATTTGCCAACTTACTCCATCTCTGACTTAGTAGACGTGATATCCGGCTAGTTATCGATGAAAGGATGTGTGAACTGCTCAGTATCAGTTTGCTCTGTCCTTCTCTGTGAGACATGGACATTGAAAGTGGAAGACATCGAAAGGCTGTCTGTCTGTGATCATAGGTTTATTTGTTCTATGTCTCATCTGTATAATGGTATAATAAGAAGAGTAATATTGAGATCAGGCGTCAAGTGTCAGCCATTCCCTTCTTCGAGGAGCAATGTTAGCTGAAAAAGGGTCGTTGGATAAGAGTTCCAGTGATGGTCAAACGAAAACATGGAATGAGTCGATGAAATGAGCCAGTCATGTAGGAGGGTGTGGAGTGTCTGACTAAGTGTCTGCTCTATGAGATTCTAAGAGTCAATGTCTGGAGACAATTGATGATGATATGGCTCTAAATCTTTCTCAGTGGTGCAGACGTCTTCACTCTCTCCCATATCCATTAAGAGCCTATTTTGTTTCCATGTAACACTTCTGTCTTTCTTTCGAATATTCTCCCAACCCCCCCTCACTGTCTTTTGTCTTTCTTTGTATGTCTGTCTGTCTGTTTTCGAAATAGAACTCTGCACCAGTGTGCAGCAGTTCAAGTCGCTCCCTCCTTGTGGCACACAAAGCAAAAGAAGAAAGTAAAAAGAAATGTAAAATAGAGACAGTACACAGAGGTATGAGGCAAAAAGAATAGTAATATCGAAGAACAATATAGTTTGATTAGAAATTATTAGTCACAAGGAGTAGATGCATCTGCGTCAGCCATTGACAACAATTTCGAGCCATATCACCGATTGTCTCCAGCCTTCATTGGTGTTTACCGTCCCGAAAACCCCAACCAGGAAGTCTACAGCTTCCTACGTGGTCTAAACTAACTGTTGTAGATTTCATTGACCGATGGAACCACGTTTTGGTTTGACCGCCGCTAGCTCTTTTCCAACTTGACTCTATGTCAGCTAGAATTGCCCGTCGAGGAAGGCGATGGCTAGGCATGCGTAAAACACGTCCCAACCAACTCAATCGATGCAACTTCACAACCTCTTCGATTGATTTCCCCTCCTTACCTGGAATTCGACGCCCAACCTCAATATTGCTCACCTTATTATGTCATTTCACATGGGAGATAGAACGCAGACACCTATGATCAAAGACAGCTAGCCATCCTTTTCATGTCTTCCACTCTCAATAACCAGGTCTCACAGCCATAGGGAAGGACAGAGCGGACTGCTGAGCAGTACACCCGCCCTTTGGTCGATAGCCGGATATCGCGTCTACGCCAGAGACTAATACAAAACTGGCCCTCCATCTTTCTTTGCGTACATACATGGAGTGTGGCAGGTGTGAAATAGTGCACTTCCATGCTATCCTAAGCAGCTTTCTTTCAGATGGCCAAGTACTTTGTGACAGTATGATTATGAATGTACTATGTAAATCGGATATGATGAAATTTGGGGGTTCTTGTTTCTTCTATTCCTTTACGTTCCCAGTGGAACATAGGGTTACTTCAAGTTAGAGGCTTGAAGTTTCTGTAGCAGTGGTGTTTATTTTTTTATGGGATGGGGTTGCTAGCCTCATGCTCAACCTTCCTTCTTTATCAATCTTATAACTGGCTTAGCGGCGTAAAGGAGTGCGTCTGTGGTCGGGGATCGAACCCCGAACAACATGTGGCATAGTTGGCGAGTACTCTACCGCTGTGCCACCGACGCAAAGAGATTCTTATTAACTATACATAATTAACTTTAATTCAGTATTATTGTTTGTTTTTCTCTTTAATTTATTTTAATTTTAGGTGAAACACCTTGTTCCAGGTGGTCCAGCTTCACTGAATAGCCAGTTAGCTGTTGGTGATGTTATGGTCAGTGTGAATGGTACAAATGTACTCGGTTATACACATTCACAGCTAGTTTCATTGTTTCAATCAATTCCAATTGGCGCGAGTATTAGTTTATTAGTATCACAAGGTTATCGGTTGAGAAGAGATATTGGTGAATCACCAAATCATCATATAAGGAATACAATACCTTCTAATACTGGTCTAACAACTCCTGCATCCGGAGTAATTGATATCTCTGCTCAGGTAAATATATACATATATAAGTTAACATTTGTCGTTTGTTCATATGTATCCTTTTTAGTATGAAGCAGTGGGTTTAGGCTTACTTGTTATGACTGATACCTTGTTATCGGGGGGGGGGGGAGGTGAGGTGAGTGAAGTTGAGACGTCTTTTAAATCTACTGTTCCAGCAACTCTCCTAGTGAGAACTACCTACTACCATTTTTCTAAACTGATGACATAGTGTCTTGGGATGCGTCTTGGTGAATATTGCGGTGACGCTATGTATTGTGGCTATTAAACACTGTCCCTATTTTTGAACGGTCAGTTTTCCTAGGTACACGATCCTTGGTGGGGTCATGGGTGCGTACTGCTGATAAGTCTCGCAAGATAAGCCGAAACAGCTTTCCAGTGCTCTCCCTTTCTGCTGGTTTTCAATGATTCTCGAATTGACATTAATCCGTGATCAAATTTTGAAACGAATTCAATTCCTACAAAACAAAAGCTTGAAAATTATTCTGATGCTTGCTAATGACTGATCGACTCTGTCGGGAGTGAGAATAGATACTCGCCGATGATATAGCTGGCTGGTGGTGTCAGTCGTGCTAAAATTGCGAATTGACCATCAGACTGATGGGTCCTAGAGAGCTTACCGAACTGCCTTCAGTAGTAGCAATCGTTCCTTGCAACAGTTTGTGACTGTGGACGTCCTTTCCACTGTGTGACAAGCCTCTCTGTGTATTTTAGTGTCCTGTGCCGATAGCCCCACTGCATTGATTTGTTGGCATGTGGTTTCTAGATCTTCTAGGCTTTCCAGTAAGCGTGTCTTGCGTATCGGCTTCTTCCATGGATGCCGGGATGTACAAGTAAGAATCCTTCCTGTAACGTAAGTTGTTGACACCGTGCATAAACTTTCAAAAGACAGTGTCTTCAGATTGTGAATACGGGCTGTCCTGCATAGCTTGACGTGAAAGCTTGCGGAGACTCAAGATGAACTGCTTGACGGATTCACCTTGTTTCTGGTTGCATTCATTGAATCTTTTCAGCGCCTCCATATGAGGTACTCTTGGCATTACCCGTTAGGTACCTATTGCTGATGAGTCCCAAAGTAAGACGAAACCGGTTTTTCAGTGCTCCCTGGTTTTTAATGATTTTCTAGTTTGAATAAAGCAATAACAACAGATGGTACCATCATCTATTTCGTCGTCTTCTCATCAGCTGCTTACAGGCCGAAATTATTAATAAATATATCCACAGAAACAATTTTAACATACTTGCACTGATTTCATTTTAAACAAAAACAAATCAATTAACATATACATACAGTAATTATATATATATATATATATATATAATATTATATTAAACATTATTCCGAACAATGATCATACACAATGGCATTACGTAATCAGATGAAAGAGAGGTGGAAATATCCAGTTACCAGGGCAAAGAAAGACTGATAACTGCTTTCTTCTGAACGCACAAATCAGGTTTCAGGCGCTTGATGGAGATGACTTCAGCAAATTTGAGAAGAATTGAACTGTTTCGCCTATCGATAATTTTGAACAATCTTGCGACGTCCACTTCATGATCCATGTCAAGGTGATGCCTGGTGATGGCACTGTTTAGAGCATTTGTTCCCTTTAGACATAAGCTTTTTGGTACATGTTCAGAAAATCGTAGATACGCCCCTCTTGGTGTTCTTCTAATGTAACTGCTCCCGCAGATGCATGTAAACTTGTATATACTGTTGGAGTTCATGTGAGAAGGATATCTATCGATTTTTGATTGCACCAAAGAGCAAGTTGTTCGATAGATGGGGACAAGCTTAGCTGAAGGTTAGGCTCTGGCTAGTCACGTACTTAGTCTTCTGTTGACCATTGCTGCAATGTTTTCACCTTTATAATCAAGTTGAATGTAGATTGGCTTTTTACCCACTGTGATTTGTTTTACATTTGAGACTGTTGCTCTTGCTTTTTTCAAATTTATTAAGAGGGGGGGGGGGGGGAGGAAATAAATGTATGAGATTTTTTAGTTGATGTCAGTTTGTGATTAGACTCGAAACCGCCCAAGTCTCTATATAAACCAATGAACGCTTAAAGATTTTATTACTGTGGACCAGGAATTTTTTGTTTTATTCCTTTACCTTCCCAGTGGGACATAGGGCTGTTTCAAGCAAGAGGCTTGAAGTTTCGGTAGGAGTGGTGTTTATTTTTACAGGATGGGGTTGCTAGCTGCATGCCCTCTTTACCGGTCTTAGCGAGGTTTGGGAGTGTGTAGGCAGGAGATCGAACACCGAACCACATGCATGATCAGGAATAATGAACTTAATGAAAACAGTATTTGTTGATATTGATACCTTCAAATATTGTCCATTGAAACAAGTCCACCTGAAACCTTACTTACAGCTCGGTTTGTTTTAAACGATCGAGATATGACCTCTATTGTTATTATCTACTCTTGTGTGTATTTAAAATGTTTACAAGCTTCTGTCTGATTCGTTAGTTCCTACTAGACCTTAGGAAAGACCTGATTGATGGTGGCAACGTGTTCCAATACATGGGATAACTGCTGTTTAGTTATATCCTTGGGTCTCAGAATGTACTTCTGAACATCTTACGATTGGCTTTCAGCTAGATATCGTGAATTTCTTGAAGGAGGCAAAAGAGATATGTCATCATGGAATGGTTTGTGCTTCAGTGCTCAGAGACCATTGTGTCACAGGATATAATGCCAGTTAATATTTTACTTGAAGATATTGTACGAAGGGAAAATATCATGCAATAAACTCCTCTAAAAATTCTGTACATTTTATGAATACTGTCCAGAATAAAGATATTATTATTACTACCATTAAACGCCACCCCAATGACTTGCGGCTAGCGTGTTGAAATGCCAGTCTTTACCCACAGTCATTAAATGTTATGTATTTTTGTTTCCATTCGCTTAAGCAGCTATCTAATTCTCTTTTCATTCTTATCAAATGGGTTCTGTTGTCACTGAATATTTCCTTCGGATGTCCTCTCCTACCAATAAACCTCACCATCGTCACCTCATTGTAAAGGAGTCCGTGGATAGATTGTGCGCCACCTCTAGGTGTACAACTCATAATTTAAGACAGGTGAAAATACAAACACAGCGTTTTTCAGATCTCCTACCTAGTGTGCCACTGTGATCGGTCCGAAATACTCCTTGACCTACTGAAGAGAAAGGATAGTTGTCCATCTCATTTCTGGCCGTTGGCATGCGTGCCATCGGCTGACGCTCTGTCTTAACATTTCTCCGTTTACAGCTCATACGATTCCCAATGATATTCCTCTTTGGTACACCTCCTTGTAATATCCAGAACCTTTCTTTGCCAGTTGCCAGTACTTGTGAAACATCTAAATGCCCTTCTGTATTATGATAATGTCTTAGAATCAATTCCGAATGATCTCCGCGTTTAAATTTCCTACTAACATTTTTATCTGTTTGTGTGTTCTAACCCTTCATGATAAATCTGTTTCCTATTTCCCCATTCCTTGTACAGAACACTACCAACAAAAATATCAAACATGGCGAGGATATCTTAAATGACTCACATTCTTCTGATTCACATCTACCCGGTTCATCAAGAAACTCTGCTCTCCTCTCGCATTCATCACTTTCACCTCCGCCTTCCAATAGTAATTCATCTCAAGAACTATTGGTTCGTTCTCCGCCCAATGTTGTACATGGTGTTGCTTCTAATAAACTGCGAAATTCACAAAGACCAGAATTCTTAAAGGTAATTTTTTCTTTTTCCAGTTTTACCCTTTTTTGTTTCACAACCATGATCTTTCCAATGTTAGAAGGGGGTGTATGGTTATGGGTTTGGTAGGCTAATATAAGCATCTGATGCTCACTAGCGACTGGCCCTATTCAGGTGGGTAACCTTTGGTTCTAATGGGAAGCCGTGACCAGTAGGGTACAACAGGTTGAAGGTGAGGTAGTAACTCATCGAAGAAGACATCGCGAAGTGGTCGCGCTATGTCGTGCGTGAATTGGCAGAAGTTAGAATTCATGGCCTGGCTGGCCATTGGATCGGGTCCCAGTGGCTTAATGGTCTGCGAGCTCGCCCGGAAGGTCCTAGGTTTGAGCTCTGTCGGTGGGTGAGTACTGCTGGAGGGCCCCAAACTAGGACGAAACAGCTGTGCCGTACTCCCTGGTGGTTTTTCAATGATTCTCTTACTGATGTGATTTCATAATGAAATCCTCCAACTAATATAGAACGTTACGTATCATGGTGTGAGACTCGATAAGATGGAATTCAACATTGCAAAAAGACTTTTGATTTAGAATGCCAAGTGGTACAAGTAGAAACAGTTCAGAGTGAGAATAGTAATTGTAATAATGATAATAATCGCAGTCATAAGGGAAAGGTACATAGATTGACTAAATAAACAAAATAAACGAATGTCTGTCACTCTACGACCACATACAAAGATCTGGTTTGAATCCATGAATGGTCAAGGCCTCCACTATCCTTAGAAGTTTAAAAAACACGCGGCAAGTTAGCATGAATTCGATTTGAAATTTTTTAAAATTTTACTCCTTTACGTTCTCAGTGGAACATAGACCTTCAATCTGAAACTATAAAGTATCGATAGTAGTGGGTTTTTTTTTCTAATTTTACGGGGTTGGGCTCTCTAGCCTCACACCCAACCTTCCTTCTTTACACGGCTTACTTTCGGCTTAGCGAGGTTTTGGAGTGTATCGGCAGGGGGATCAAAACCCAAACCACATACGTAGAGTTGGTTGGTGAGCGTGTTCTTACTTTACTTTACTTTACTTCGGCTATCTCCTACGGGAGGATGAGCCGGCTTCATGAACATCTCGAATCATCGCTGCCCAGGCGCGGCGATCTGATGCAAGGTTTTGCGACAGGGTTATCCAATTCTTGTTCCACAGACGGAGTCCGTAGACGGTTTGTAGCCCCAGGCACTCCATATCAGCCTTGACTGTACCGAGCCATGTTTTCAGCTGTCCACCCCTGCGACATCGCCAAGATGGTAATGGCGAGGGATTTAGAACTGATTTGATCAGATCGTCATCTGGTCGGCGCAGAACATGGCCAAACCACCGAAGACGACGTTGTTGGACCAGTACTGGAATTTGGTTGATGTTGTAGCAACGACGAAGAGTTCATGAAGTTTCATGGGAATTTGGTAGGAGTGATGTCCCCAGAATCGCTCGGTCTTTTGTTTGAGAGTGCAGCTCTAGCCTTTACACAACCAAGTGTGACCTACAAGGCAGTAGGAGTGGAGTAGGGAGTCCACTATCTATTGGCAGCCGGTGACCGGAGTTCGGTTCGTACGCCTTTTTGAATGGGGCCAGACATCCAGGACATCCAACAGGCCCTTTGTCCATACGTCTGCCAGTGAGCTCTAGTGAGCTTCATACGCCAGTCGTTGGAGGTTTGGAATCAGGGTTTAGCCATCTCCCCTAGACTGTCATCCAATGGACAGTCAACCCGGTGACGAGCGTGTTCTCCCACTGAACCATCGATGCAGCATGAATTCGACAGATGTTCTTAAAGTCAGAGTTGGTAGACTGATAGGAGTCGGTCAGGTACTCGAGAATAAATAGATCTGTGAACACCCTTTCTTTCCCGTCCGTAAACCAATACTGCTATGACTGTCACGGGCTGTAACCCGCTATTTTTTTTCTGGTTTTCACAAAGTTTATTTTAATCCGGGGGGGGGGGGGGTTGTGTTATTAAATGTTTAAATTATTTTTTTATTTAATCCCATTGTCATTAATCACTGGTTGACTACTTGAGTATATAATTAATCATATGTTGGTGGTCATTACTGTTATCTACTGTCGTAACGTGTTTTCTGTGCAAACAGCAGAAGTATATCAGTATGTTTCTATTGGGTGAATTTATGTTATGGAGAAAAAGCGGTTCTGTATAATGAGTAGTTGAATAATAATAATAATTTACTGTCTGCTGATGATTTATCACTAACTGTCATTATGAGCAAATTGTGTTATATGAAGCGTAAACAGTTAGTCCATTTACTTATATGTATGTATTGGTTCCGCGAGTGAAACATAAGTCCCCGACAGAATATCTCCACTTTGTCTTTTTCTCTGCACATAGTCTCTTGCCTCCTCCTCTATGTTTCTCTAGAACCTACGCCCCCTAACTCGTCTCCCACTGGGGTTCTATTCGATCCAATCAATCTCTTCATTTCTTTGCACATAGTTGTTGAACAATCGATTCTTGGTTGGGTCGTTCTTCGAATTTCTTGTTCCTAATGCTTTCTGCTTGGCCATTTGGTTCTCAGTATTGGAGTGAAGACTTTTTATGAGGTCCCAAGTTCCTGTCCTATATAAGAGAAGTGACTCGTTTAAGAATGGTGTTGAAAATCCTCAGCGTGTCTTCCATCCACCAATCATTTTCTCCTACGTATTTGTTGAGCGATAGGTTCTTGGTTGATTTGTTTTCAGAGTAGTAGCCCACACCAGAAAAGTACACCGACTGAGATGGACAAAACACGTGTTATGTATGCCAAATCATTGCTTTCCTCGTGGACCAGTGGTAGGCAATGTAGGATTAGGTTAGAAAAGAGAGAATTGGTCATGGTCAAACCAAAATATGGTATAAGTTCATGAAGTCTTTCACAGTTGGTGTATAGGTAAAAATGTAGACTGCTTGGTTGGAGCTCTATAGACGCTAAGAACCACTGGTCACAAACTGTCGTTGAGGCGGTTCAGAACTATATTCTTGAACTATATATTGCTCAGATGCTTCTTTAAAGCTTTTCCCTCTATGTTTATGTGTAACATAGAGTGTGGCAACTTGAACTTCTGAACATTTGCGCTGAGTTCCACGGTAAAAACTTTGTCACTTAGTCAGACAATTAGGTGAACCACATATAAAGGATTATAGAATTTATAATATTTTAACAGATGATTCGTTTAAAGAAGAGTTTTCTGAAGTGAATTAAATTAAAATTAATTACATTTTATGTATACATATGCTTGAGTTACATAACTAAATGTTAGACTGTCTTGTTGCTACAATTCAGCAGTTGGAAATGGCGTAAAATTGTTCAAAGTGTCACCTTATGTCATTCTCACATCTTCATGCATCATTACTCTTTTAAAAATATATGTCTGTGTTAAGTTAGATAAGTTTATACGAAATAAATTACAGGGATACAGTATTTTATATTATTTCCTTGAGTTTCGAGTGGAACATTATTCTATTCAGTGCTGTCCTCTTCAGCTGGGTCCACGATTGCCAATAATTTCTCATTTCCTTCACCTCACACGATTTCCTCCATGTCACCTTCGTATCCACGCCAAACTCGTCGTTCTCCATTTTGGATTAATTCGAGGGTGTGTCTGGTGCGCGATGTCATTTGATGGTCTCATCAACATGTGCCCGGGCCATCTCCATTTCCTCCTGCATATTTGTTGAGTGACAGATTCTTGGTTGACTGACTGACTTGTTTCAATATAGAACTTTGCACCGATGTGCAGCAGTTCAAGTCGCCACACTACTTCCTTGTAGCACACAAATCAAGAGAAGAAAGTAAAAAGAAATGCAAAATAGAGACAGTAAACGGAGATATAAGGCAAAAAGAATAGTAATATCGAAGAACAATATAGTTTTATTGGGTGTTATAAGTCACAAGGAGTGGATGCATCTGAGCCAGCCATTGACAACGATTATGAGCTAGATCACCAATTGTCTCCAGCCGTCATTGGTTTTTGCCATCCCGAGGACTCCAACGAGGAAGTCTTGGTCGGTTTGTTGCCTGCCAGAATTTCTTGTTGCTCATTCTTTCTGGCCGGCTGGCAGACCATTGGAACTTCAGTATGAAGCCAGCGAAGTGGGGCAGCTGTTGATAAAGGTCTGTAACTTGTTGGAAATCCCTTTCGTGACAAACAGTGCAAGTTTTTGACCCACATGGAAGTGCTAACTAACTTCACATTTGTGTTGAAAATTCGAATCTTGTTCCTTATACTGAGGCGGAGTGCAGAAGATTTGCAAACTGGTTTCAGGTTCATGCAGCTGTATCTTGCTTTTCCGATTCCGGCTAGCTGCCACTGACATCTTCATCCGTTCCGACTGCCTGTAGTTGAAACGATGCTTCCCAGATAAGTGAAGGAGGTAACCTCTGTCAAATCTCTCCCATTGATGGTGATTGGTGCTGGTTGTTGTTGCTTTTTGGTGGTGGTTGGTTATCTTCATCACCTCTGTCCGTCTTCTCTATATTCACCTGGAGTCCTGTCTCCACTTTCAGCCTGTCTAGCCAGTTTGTTGGTTTTCGTCTGCAAGTCTTCGAGTTTGTGTGACATTAAACATAAATCATCCGCACGCAAAATCCATATCTTCTAGAATCTTCTCACCGGTGGTCCATCGTATTCCTGTCTCCTCGCTCCCCACAGTCTGATGCATAATCCAGTCCACCACAATCAAGAATATCATCGGTGATAATAAGCAACCGGCTTCTTTTACTACTGTATTCACTTCGAACGCCTCACTGAGTGAGCTTTTCATTGTGGATCACCTGACACGCGGCATTGTCATATAGACAGCTGTTGAATGAGGTTGATAAAGATTTGCACACTGCACTCTATATTATTGAGGTAGTTTCCAAATTACTTCTCAGTCAAAACTGTCTGTGGAAGGCCTTTTTGAAATCGATGATGCTAAGGTGGATGTTTGACTGCCCTTCTATGCTTTGTTCTGTGATGATGATATGTAGAGCTGCAATTGTATCAGCACATAATTTGCCTTTCCTGAATCCAGCTTGTTCTTGGTGGTGGGGGAGAGTTCTGCATCCTGTGCATCTTTTTTTATACAGTATTAACAACGCGAAAATTTGGGTTTTCATGTTTGAGAGGTAGTTTGTAGGTATTTGATTTGTTTTACCACGGATTGATATCAGTAGGAGAAAAGAACCACAGAGTACCACACTCATTGGCATTATTCACCCGCAACAGGGTTCGAACCCAGGACCTTCCGGTTACAAGTGAAGGTTGTGGTCGGTCGGTCGGACCATTGGGTCACTGGCACCCTACTCAATGACCAGCTTATGAATTCTGACTTCTACTAATTCTTGAAGCAAAAGTTGTGATATCTCGTGAATTGATAGAAACTAGAATTTACGATAATCATTAAACGCTTGCTTTCTAATGGACTGGCTGACCACAGGACAAAGTTTCCTGGAGTTCTAGTGAGAAACCTTGACCAGTGTGGGGGGGTCCACTAGCCGGTTGGGAGGGAGGACAAATACTCGTCATGGATGACATAAGCTGGTGTCATTCGCACTAAAATCACAAATTTGTAGAAGTTAAAGTTCATTTCATTTGCATGCATGTGTTAAGTAATTATCAAATTCGTTAATTGAACATTTCAACGTGTCTAGGAGTGATAAACAGATCCTCTGTTACTGAAACTCCATAGCTCTAAAGCTTGAAGTTATGTGTACATATATTCCACCTGAATCGCAAAGGAATGATGGCTTCTACCTTGACGTGGTAGTTGGACTTGCGTATTTCAATGACCCAACGGACTACACTGGCTGGAACAAATTTTTCCGCATGTTCTACTATGCCAGGAAAGTTTCTTGAAGGGCAATCAGACAAAAGGCAGTTATCGTGATAGTTTAAGTCGTTTGGGAGTCTGAGTGTAAAGTCGTGGTGTAACTGCAGTAATATTTTCCCAGGAGCCCATCTATACTGCTTCTCCGCTCTGGAGACGGGGGGTTAGAAGCGATGATGGCGAAAATTGTGCATCTCTACGTACCTTGCAGCCGTCCGTAGCCGGACACAACCCGAAAAAATCATTTCAAATAGGCCGTGTTTGAACAGCCTCAAACATTTCTTCCCTTGGATCCGTGATCACGCAACATTAGTGCCCCTTCTGTTTCAGTCACCCAGAGGAGGAATCAACACATATGATGTAGGCAGCTGGGTAGTAACAACCGCCCACGTTCCATTCCATGTATGCACCCAAAGCAGTTAACTCTCTCAATTATGTCTTTTCTCTTACTCTAATTTATTTGTAGGTGTCAATTTTCAAACAAGCCAATGGTTTTGGATTCACCTTAGCCGACCATCTTCAAGGTCAACATGTGAAGGCTATATCAGATCCTGTACGATGTGGTCGCCTACGTGTTGGTGATGTAGTTGTCGAGATTAATGATCAACGTGTTAAAGATATGCCCCACGTTGAAGTGGTACAAATATTGAAACAATGTCCAGTTGGGAAAGAAGCACGTCTACTTGTCCAACGTGGTGGTAAGCCTATTTAGTAATAATAATAATAATAGTTTGATTTATCCCGATAATAGTACGCACGATACAGTGTGGAGTTCTCAGCATTTAGTTCAACACTAATAAAGACATTTGTGCGTCGGTGGCACAGCGGTAGGGTGCTCGCCGATCACGCTTCATGTGGTCCCCGGCCACAGACGCATTCCTTTACCTCGCTCACTAAGCCAATAGTAAGACTGGTAAAGAGAGAAGGTGAGGCTGGGCATGAAGCTGGCTAGCAACTCCATCCTGTAAAAATGATCACCACTGCTACAGAAACTTCAAGCCTGTAACTTGAAGTAGCCCTATGTTGTTCCACTGGGAATGTAAAGGAATAAAAAACAAATAAAAACAAAGACATTAAATGTTATGAATAACCAGAATTGATAATATCAGGTTTTTGCCATTAGCAGATTCAGAACTGTACAAAAAGTTTAACATGATGATAATAGTTGTAATAGTAATTACTAGAATGATGAGATAATTGAAACAGATAATGACACCATAATTTGCAAATAGGAAAAGATAAAAGAACCGTCTATTTTGCTAATTACATAGTAAGCTATAAATTTCACAATGTGAACACTTTCTCTATCACATAGAACGCCGGCAGGCCAAATAGAGGGTATCGTTGAGTTTATTGTATTTGGTTTTACGAGAGAGCATATCATCTTTTATAATGATTTCTAGCCCTAACTGATGAGATGCAAGGAGAGAGCGGTGAATAGAAAGGCTATTGAGAGTCAAACAATATATGGATTTACGCCATTCCTGATATGAGTTCATATGTCTGTCGACCACAACTCTGTCTGTCTGGATTCAACATAGAACTTGGCACCGAAGTGCAGAAGTTCGAGTTGCCACGTTCCAAATAGCACACAAAGGTAGACAAGACAAGATGAGTGAAGAGAATCAATAGAGTTTTGACAAGTATAAGAGTGAAACAGAATGAGTAATGGTAGAAAGGAATATGAAAGATTACAGAGACTGAATACATCTGCGTAAGCCATTGACAACGATGAGTTTGAGCCATGTCACCTATTGTCTCCAGCCATTGATTCTTAGAGTCCCGAGGGCGGGCCCCAACCTGGAAGTCTGCATCTCCCTCCCTACCTGACTGACTCAGTTTAACTGTCAAGGATTTCATGGATTGATGCTATGTTTTTGTTTGGCCACCACTTACTCTTTTCCAACCTGCACCTATATCATCAGCTAGTAATGCCCGTCCGTTGGGGGAGGCGATGGTTAGGCATGCGCAGCACGTCACCTAGCCATCTCAATCTATGTAACTTTATAGCCTCTTCGATTGATTTTCCCTCTTTGCCCAACACTCTATGCCTAACGTCAACATTACTTATCTTATTATACCACCTAACGTGAGAAAGAGATCGTAGACATCTATGATCAAAAACAGTCAACCTTTTCATGTCTTCAACTCGTATTGGCCATGTTTCAGAGCCATAGAGAAGGACGGAGCGAACTGCTGAGCAGTACACTCGTCCCTTGGTTGATAGCCGGATGTCACGCCTACGCCAGAGACGGTGTAAGTTAGCGAAAGCAGTTCGAGCTTTTTGGATCCGTGCTGAGATTTCGTTACCAATCAATCCGTTGTTGCTGATACAACTTCCCAAATAGGTGAAGTGGTCGACCACATCAGTAACTAAGTGATTGACTGAGTGGGACACCACTTGCCTGCCCTACTGACAACCTTTACTACCCTTCACAATATGACATAGTCCTTTTATAGTAGTAGTTCGGGAAAGACTATTGTTGGGGTTGGGAGTAATAGAAAACAATTTGGTAAGATGAAAGAGTTAACAAATTGTAAAAATTAGAAGTTGAGTGACTGTCTTAACTTCTTAATGTAGAAGGTTAAACTGACAATTTCCTGAGAAAAATCAACAAGATATGGAATGATCGACCAACCAAGGTGGGATTATAGAAATATTCCAAGGTATTTTACGCTTGACTTAGCTTATACTTCGGTTCTCTCCATGGTACAAACACCACGTGAATGAACCTGTTCGTGTAGATAACGTTTATGCTTGGAGGTGTAGGCATTTCAAGGTACTGTTTATCTGTAGATTGATTTTTGCTCATTAATATTTAATTTCAGTCGATAGCATTTTTCAATTCTGATCATAAACTGACTGTTTCGCCCTACTTTGGGACTCTTCCGCATTACACATTCATGACTGCATAGGGGATTTAACCTAGCACCTTCAGATTACACGGCGAGCTCGTTAACCATTCAACCATTGGGTTATATCCCTGGTAGGGTCATAGATGCGTACTGCTGAAGATTCTTAAACAGTGGCGAAACAACATTTCCTCTTCTGTTTTGATATAAACTAAGCGGTTTGCGTCAAAGTGCTTTTGTTAAGAAAAGATTTAGAGAGAATGAAAATAATAAAACTTTGTAATCCTCTCCAATGGATATATATTATATTGGGTCAGGAAAGTGTTTAGGATGCTTATTATTTTGTAACCTTGGTTCATTAATATTTTGTTAAACTTCTTATTTTTTATTTATTGATGTCCTGCTAACAAGAAGGCAATATGGAAGTATTAAGAGGGTTATTTTCCCCGAAAATATCATGAGTTGATCAATACACCCATTTCAAGTTGCTTGTACCCTGATGTTGTAGGCGAGAACAATTTGCCCAACTGACACTCTCGACAATTAAATAAAGAAAATAGGAAGCTTATTATACGAGAAGGTTCAGCGGTAGAATGCTCGCCAGCTGGCCACGCATTTGTTCCTGGGTTCGACCCCCTGTCAATGCACTCCCGAACCTCTTTAAGCCGGTAGTTAGCTCAGTGAAGTGGGAATGTTGGGTGTGAGGATAGCGACCCTACTGCACATAGATAAAATCGCTACTACCGCAACATTAAAGCCCTAGTTCGAAGTCCTATTTTCCATCGGGAATTAAATAACGGTGAAAATCATCTTTCAACTGCATATTATTTTTACAAATATCTCCCTTTGTTTATTGATATATTTACCTTTATGAGTTGGTGGCACAGCGGTATAATGCTTGCCAACCACGCATGTTGCCCAGGGGTCGATCCCCGCCCTACGCACTCCTTTACCTCGCTGAGCCAGTAATAAGACTGGTAAAGAGGAAAGGTTGGGCATGAGGCTAGCAGACCCATCCCGTAAAAATGAACACCACTCCTACCGAAACTTCAAGCCTGTAGGCTGAAGCAGCCCTATATTCCACTGGTAACGTAAAAAGATAGAAAATAATAAAAATATGTATGAACGTATTTGTAAGGCAAAAAACGAAGAGACAACTGCATCGAAGAAAAATTTTCTTTTGATGGAGTAATGAACTCGGCCATACATTCGTGAAGATACAACAAAGGTGTGAGAAAGTCCTAGAATTCATTTGGTGGATGTTGACTAGCACTGGTGGAATCCAGGTTGCGTATTTCGTCCTATTTGAGCTTCGTCATCTGGATACTTCTGCATTCTCCAATGAATGAGTAGTGGCGTGTTTCCACCGAAACTTGAACCCTGTATCACCCATCGTTTCAAACGCCAAACCCGTTATCCACTAGACCACTTAAGCCAAGAGAACCTCAGTGGGAACACCATCACCCACTTACTGGGAAATGCAGGCACATCCATCTGATGAGTCTTAAATAGGACGAAATGCACATCCTGTTGGATTCCACCAGTGCTAGTCACTAACCGCCAAGTTAATTCTACAACTCCCCTACCCCCTTTGTTATACACATTCACGAATGTACAGCTTTATTGATGATGACTTCGTTGAAAAGAAAATTTTCTTCGCTACAACTGTTGTCTGTGTTTTTCTCTCTTATGATCCAATATATGTATACTATACGATAAACGTGAGAGTTTTATGTTAAATAACCATGGTTGTGGATAGACTTGCATTTATCTCGCGCTTTTATTTTCTCCAACTGATGGTGATTCATACGTGGCGATATTTCCTAGTCATGAGTAGTAGTAAGTTACGTTGTGATGCAAAATCACAAAAAATGACATTTATTGTGGTGATCTAACCAAGTTGCCGCTTCCACACAAATTATTATTATTATTTTCATTTGTCTGGCAGTAGTAGAGATCAACGATGTGCATTACAAATGATGACAACGATGAATCATCTCCCTACTTATGGGTTGGGTGAAACAACTGTTTCACTGATGGTTGTTGTCAATACCCCTTCATTTTGTTGTTGTTATGATGATGACAAACTTAACTATCAAGACTAATGACTGACTAAGTTACCACCGCGATTATGAAATTCCATTTGTCACGATATTGATTTTATATATATATATATATATATATACATATATATAGAAAAACACGAAAATATCTCCATTTAAACATTTAGAGAAGGTAAAAGGCAAAAGGAGATTGAGCGAAGAAACAATTTTTATTTTTCGGTTAGATCCTCATCTCTCTCTCGCTCCCTTTCTGGCTTTTCTCTAATACAGTACAAACAAATTTTATCAATCTCTTGTGGCGATAACTCCATATTAGATAAGTTTATTACAAATATCACACTGTGACATTTTGAGCATAAATTGTCGCTGCTCATAATCATATCAATTTAGTCACACGGTCTCATGATTTGTTACATATATATATATATATCTTCGCTCAATACTCAAGATCAGATGGCCTGCCAAAAAAGATCAGTAACAGAGATCTCTGGGAGCGAACCAACTCAGCAGGAACCGATTGTGAAACAAATAAGCAGGAAGAAATGGAGATGGATTGGCTGGCCATACTCTGAGGAAACCATCAAGTGAGTAACATCACTAGACAAGCCATTACTCGAGTGGAAACCGAAAGGGAAGCGGCGAGTTGGTTGTCAGTGCAAGGGTGACTTGGAGGTGGTCATGTGAAGAGGAGATGAAAACGTGTGGGCACACTTGGAGCCAGGTGGAAACTCTAGCAGAAAACCGAACGTAATGGAGACGCACGGCTGAAGCCCTATGTTCCT